GTTTTACCTGGTCCTCGGTGTGAATCCAGACATATAACACGTTCCAGTGTAAGAAATCCATGCTGGGTTTTCACCAGCGCTACTAAAGCATAAACATTCTATTACACAACGAGGGCGTATTCTAAAACGGAAAACAGAGACATTAGGAAATCCACTGTTTCCTTCCTGCAAGGACAGATGGTATACAAGGGAGTCACAAAATTAACAGTAGTGCACAGAGACAGCCAGAGCAATAGCGTCAAGAAACTCCCCCTCTTTCCTTCCGCATCATCATCTGGGCTACTTAGCATTAGGCAACTGCTAGTCTCTTTGATCCAAGTCTTCAAGCCGGAACCCGATCCTGGTCCCCGATAAGCTGCTTTTCTTCGGGGCTCTTCTCCCTTGCCCCCTCCAGTTGCGGGCCCTTGGCTGACCCTGATGTCAGCTCCTTCTCATCCTGGTGTGTTATGCTACTGGTTTTCCCTTGCAGGGTTGGCGATTGAGCAGGAACTTCAGGTCCTCCACAGGTTCCATGGTCCCCTGGTCTCCCTGTGGTTTTTGGAGCTTTTCTCAGCCTGGTGTAACTTTCCCACGGAGGCACTTCCTCCGATCTCACTGCTGTGCGTGGCAAGGGGCACCTGGGCGCGCTCCTCCCACGGCATCCATGGGCTCCAGGCGGTCCAGTCTCAGGCCAGTCAGCTGACGTAAGCCAGCAGCCCCCCTTCCCTTGTGCCACGGCAAGCCATAGGCAGCAACCAGCCAGTGGCCACCGCTTCACACACTGCAGTCAGTCAGTCAGTCAGTCAGTCAGTCAGTCAGTCAGTCAGTCAAATAGGCATGACTTCTCTGGGCTCGGAGGAGGAGTAGTGCTGGCCAGCTAGTCGTTCTTGCGTGGTTTGCATCTTATGTGTGGTGACCCAATGAAATCCAGCAGATGTGAAGTCTGTGACTTCAGTGGCAATTAAAAGGTTGTTCATATACTGTAGTAAGAACAGCATTAAAGTCTCTGATCCATCTAGGCAAGTCCCTAGCCAATGTTTGAGAGAAAGGTGGGTGAATTCCCTCCTTCCCTGAGCAAGGGTGGTTACACACAGCTGGCTTTTCCTTCCAGGGCTGTAGAGAAGTTGTAGGCAGTGGCAGAGAGATCCGCATCACTTTGGAGAGAAACCTCAAGATGCAGTGTCTATGTCTTTTTTTTTTTTTTTTTAGTCTCTTTAGCACAGTGTCAAGAAGAAAATGTTTTTGTTGTTGACACCAATCCAGTCAATGCCAAAATGCACACAAAGAAACCCTTTGCTGAACTTGTGTTGCACAAACTTATTGCTTACCTAACCTGAAGAAAAATGTGCTTTCGAATGGACTTGTCAATGAGAACACGGTTTTACACAATTTCTTATTACAGAGATGGTCCTCTCCAACATAGAAGTAAATTGAGTCAGAGAGGGGGTCCTCCCCTGGTCATCTAGTCTGAGGTCATCTAGTCTGACCCCCTGTCTCAGCCAACTCTGTTCCTATAATCCACAA